TCATCTACAGAGGCAAAGGATGATTCTTCGTCACAGGGAAGGACAGGTGTCTTCTCCCCTGTGTGAGGCGACTGCTAGACAAGTTTCTCTGTTGGAGAACTTGTTGAAATGGAACTGATGGTGTTGGAGTTGTTAGAAACGGTATGTCCATGACTGCTTGCATGTATATGACCTCCACCCTGCCCCCCCTGACTTTGGGAGAGGCTGAGTCGCCGTCAGTTTACCAATTCCACGCTTACAAATTGCTTCAGTCGTTCGAGGTATTGATTGTACAATTCTACATCATTATGACCAGCACCCTGAAAAGTTACATATTTATATATTTTGCTACCTATATGCTATAAAGATACTCCCAAGTAAGTTAATATTTGCCAAATTAAGTTTCTAAATAAAGCATTTTCTAGTTGCATATTTATTTTTTCACATGGAGGGAACAGCTTAATTATATCATTATACCTTAATTATATCATTACAGCTTAATTATATAACATTATATCAGCCTCCGCTCTTTATAAATACAATTTTCTGACAAATAGCTCAAATACAATTTCAAATTTCAGCATTTAATTAATATTAGCTTTTACAATAAATTATTTTGTTTAGTAATGACGTACCATTAGGTTCTAACTCTCTTATAAGAATTATGAAAATTACAGCAGACAAAGAGTATATAACCAACCAATACAATCGATAACCAATGTAATATGAACAAAAAGAAAAGAAATTAAAGAAAATAATAAATATTTTTAATAAAAGTGCATTATCTAATACCTCGACCCATAGTGGTTCTACTGCTCGTGGACATCTCTCATAAATCGCCAGACCATGACTAAAATTTATAACTTCGTCTTCGGTACCATGAATGACCAGAACAGGAGATGTTACCTTCGGCACTTTATCTATGCTGCAAAAAAATAATAATATATTAACAAACATTGTTCCCCTATTGTATGATGATATACAATTTGATTTTCATCTTGAAAAATTTCATCTTTTCTATAGTTCAAATAAATTTTACATTAAAATCTTTCACTTAGATTTATCAAATATCCCAAGATATTTTGAATAAAAGTTAAAAATTTGTAAACAATGTTGTCATTACAATATAACTCCTACATATAGTTTTTTCTAGAATCATAAAAATCTTAAAAAATTTTATCAAACATATATAGATTTAAAATATATACGTTATTATACATAGTAGAGCAGATTAATTAACACATTAATATCAAATATTATAAAAATATGTAAAGTTTTAAAGACACAAGTTAAACTTTTATCATTTACTCTCATATTTCCCAATATAGTTTGTCACTTCTGTTTTTATTACGCACGTGATCAATAATGAAAGAGTTATGCGTAAAGTACATTTTCACTCTACGCATGCATAATTATGCGGTAAATGTAAATGTGAAATGAAAGAGTAGGCACGAGAAAAAAAGTAAATGTAAATTGTAGAGAAATGTGATAGTAAATAATACAGCAGTTATATTGTATTAAATTTTATATATTTGTCGATACACTTTTAAAAATTCATAGAAAAATTCTAATGTCTTATATTTATTATCTCATTTTATATGTATCTCTAAACTAATCCCAAATAATACTTTTCAATATAGAGCATTGTAGATTATATATATACACACACAGAGATATATCTTAATTAAATTTTGAAAATTGTAATTACACAAATATTAAGTTTTGAGACTATCGACAATATGCGTGTAGTGTTATATTGTAATAACCATATATATTTTTTTATTTGGCATAACAACAATGTTAATTATTTGATAAATATCGTAGAATTCGAACAAAGCCAATTAGGAAGATATATTATTAAGTCAAAATGTGCGACACATAGATTTCACAACAAGTACATATCCACATGGTAAACATTTACAAAACATACATTTGTTTGGATGTAAACTTGTGTAACTTTTGTTACAAAATATCAATCATTTTACTTTATCAGATCATAATCAACTAGTATACGAATAGAAAATGCCATTAAATCCAGAGTTATTCGAGAAGCATCATAAAGTAAAGTTGGTCAATAATTTCGTTACTCCCCGTCTAAACATCACTAAAAACAGTATACTCTCCTACTCCTACAGCCTTGTTACTGCCATTGTAGACGAGCCTTAATATTCATAAATTTGCTCGCTATATAAATTGTCTGTTCCTTTTAGCTACATATATATAAATAAACACACCCACACATACCATCTCGCGATTTTAGCTGCAATCTGCACAAAAAAACAGAATAAGTATATTTTCAGATATCGAAAAATAGAAGAGAGAAAAAAATCTCGCAAAGTATAAAAAGTACAGTTGAAAAGAATAGACTTTTCCATGCTAAAACAAGCGGGTGAAAACAAAGCTTGACATATTTTTAACATTGTAAATCTGAGCTTATCGATAAATTAATAATTGTTTTAGCTTTCGCAGCTTTATATACATTCGTTATATATAAATTAGATCGACGTCAAAGATTTGTCATATTCAAACAAAATTGAATAGCGACATTGTACAGTGTCGATGAAAAATTTCTGTTGTTCAAAAAATAATCGTCTTTAATCGTTTCGTTTCCTTACATTTCCCCTGGTACTTGTCAACCATTATAACCTTCAAGTTACAATATGGTAACTGATTTCCAGGCTCTTTGTATCTTTAGAAGGACAAATTTATATACCGTTTCTTTATATATCGAAGATTCTTTAAAGCGGGAGAAAAGAGAAAAAAAAAAAAAAAAAATTAGTTGAACAATAAAGCGTTCGTGTCACGTGCTCGATGATGATAAATAATATAACGTAAAATGGAAAACATATACTTGCTCGCGAGGATTCCCCGCTTACCTGGTGAAAGCGTCGAAGAACCAGGTCCTCTTAGTCTTGGGGAAGGCGACCCTCATCCCGGACATGAGCGGCGAGTGCAGGACAACCGCGCCGACCTCGTATCTCGCGGCAAGATCGACCGTGGGCACGGTGCCGATGCTCTGCCCGTAGAGTATTATGTTCTCCGGACTGATACCGTATCGGGTACGCAGCGCGTGCCACGCGGCGTCGATGTCCGCGTAGAGGTTCTTCTCGGACGGTTTGCCACCCGAGACCCCGTAACCCGAGTAATCGTAACTGAATATGTTGCAGTTTATCCGCGAGCCTAATCCGAGGTAGAAGCTCGACATCTGGCCAAGATCGACGGCGTTGCCGTGGGAGAAGAGGATCGTGAAACGAGCGGTCGCCGAGCATCTTACGAACAGGCACGCTATGCGATTCCCCCGCGACGTTCTCGCGTAAAAACCCTCCACCGACTCCTTCTCGCGTTCCGTATACTGCCATTCGGCGCGCTCCGACAGGGAGATGGTGAACTTTGTGCCCTCGTCCTCGACGAACGTGTACGTCGGCTCGGGCGGCAGGAACGCCAGCTTGTCGGCGATTCTGGACGGGCAGGGCGGGCAGCAAAACAGGCAACACAATTCACTCAGGCTTAACCCGTTCATCGTGCACAGCACCGCCGGGACGATCACGCACGAAACCACCACCACCACCACCACCACCGTCGTCGTCGTCGTCGTCGTCTTTGTATATCACGTCTCCTCCGCGTAAAGCCTCGGCATCGAGCGATCGGGGATCGACACACGGTCGGATCGTACGAGGGGGTCGAGGGGATGAGGGAGGGTAGTGTCACGTTCCGCCACTGTTTTTTCTTGCTACGCGAAAACAACAATTTTTCTTTCTTTCCTTTTTTTTTTTTTTTTTTTATCCTTTTGTTCCTGTCACTTTTATAATGAATCACGCGCGTGATTGTGTCATTCGCGCGCGCGTTATCGCGTGAGTTTCCTCTACCGAGAGTCGCTCACAATGATTCAGCCATGACGGCTTCGTCGGAGAGACGGACACGACTTTTTTCTCTCTCTCTCTCTCTCTCTCTCTCTCTCTCTCTCCCACCTTCTCTTGTTTTCTTCTTTCCTTCTCCTCTTTCTCCTCGTCTTTCTCTTTTTCACAAAAGCCGTGTACGAACCTACCGAACCTACGAACTTTCCACACCCCCCCACCACTCTCACTCTACTACACGCGTACTTTCATTGTGCGTCAGGTGAGACGGGACGCGAGATAGAGATGGAGATCATGGTACCGTCTTTGCCCTGACAAGTCCGTGCTCGGTGCAACCGGAACTTTGCCGACGATCGTCGGGTAACCGACGACGGGGACCGATCGACTCCGATCAGCTCCGATCTTTGACGCAACTCGTGTTTTAGCCGCGTTCGCATTAGAAGGAATAGGGCTTCGATTCTCGAGCTGTCACATGTATGTATGGATAACTTTCGAATCGAAAATCATAAATTCGAGATTCGGCAGCCTTTCCCGTATTCTCATATTTTAGTTTTAAAATTCAATAGAAAAAGGAAGAAAATAAAAACAGAATCTCTCCCTCGTTCGCTTTTTATTGGAAAAAGAAGACAAATATTTCGTTCGTTTCTCTCTCTCTCTCTACATATTGTTACGTATCCTTCAAATCTCGAGTTTTTCCGTTCTATATTATTATATCTATATGGAGACGCCCATGATGTAGGAAATAATAGAAAGGATCGAGATATGTGCTTTTAGTGCGCACGCGCTCAAATTCACATCAGACTATCCATTGAAGATTGAGAAAGAGGTTGGATATATTGACCAATCAAAACAAAGAAAACATAGAGATTTCTTTGTTCCGACTGATCAAACTCCGACCTTCTGTGCATAATCCGATATCAGTCATTAAAAAATCTATTCGTCGGAATTAAAATAGAGTTTCATTGATTTGATATGATACATATACATATCAGGACTAAAGGTCTATACAGACAAATTTGCATAGAATCTGATACATTAAACCCTTGATTGATTAATTTCCTTATGTAAAATTAATTTCCCTAAATAAAATTTTATGTGTATCATCTCTTTGTCTCAATATACATAGATACATTGTTTTATTCGTGAGGGCAAGAAACTCTATTCTTCAGAGATTTTGTTTATTTGTATATTATTGCATTCTTTTCACTAGATTTTATCGCTTATCAAAAATGCATTTATTATTATCCTTTAATTAATATCCTTGCAAATTATCTTTAATACATTGGAAATATCAAGATTTGTATATACCTAATAACACACCATTGGTTACAACATCTGGAAGACTGCTAGTTGAATCAGCTTGGATATATGGATCGCAGTGAAAAGTTAAGACTGGATGATGTCCTAGAGTATTTGGATTGTGTATCGAGCAATTTGTAGCTTTGTATAACCTTGAAAAATCAAAAATGAAAAGAATCATTAAAGACTATTATTAAATAAATGTCAAACTATATATATAAAACTATAATGTTTATATAATATATTCAATCAAATATTCTTAATTGAATTCAAATATCGCATTTTATACTAACTCAAATTTAATTGATGTAAAATAATCTACATTTTGTCGCAACTTTTTTTTCTTAAAATGGAAATTGTGTAAACTTTCAAACAAGAAAAATATCAGGCATAAAAATGCTATATTAGATACGAGTCTTTTATATTATGTAACTGCTCTGGATTACTAAACACTGTCCAAGCTCATCTGTATACTGATATTTTTCCACTCACTAATTTACATTTAGTATCGTAATTGTAATGTTCATCTCTTATATCTATAAATCTATTTAATTTAAATAGATACCTCTTATGAGATGTAAATCCCTGGTCTTCTATGCCTAAAAAATTGAGAACTTGCTGCTTTGTTGCCAATAAATGTAACATCTTTTGTATATATAATTCCAGTGCAGCTCGTCGTTGCTCTAATACTTTTGGTTGCGAGTTTCTTACTCTCTTTGGTGGAAAAGGCGCGATATCCGAATTGTCCTTCTTCAACTGGAAATCAAAAGTCTCTTGAATAATAACGTAACATTATTCAACAAGTGTCTCTCAAAATCATGACTTGCGACAAAAATATATCAACAAAAGAAAGAGAAGAGAAAAGAGTATAGTTCGTTAATGTTAATTTATGTAACACACACATATATATATATATATTATTAACACAATATATATTAAGAACTCTTCTAATAACTTAAAAAAAAATTGTCAGGTTTATTTCGATTACAGTAGAACATGCAAGTGCTTTTATTTACTAGGCCCTTATCAACATTTCGATAACATACCGTGCGATGTAACGCGCTAAATTCGCTATATCTTCTTTCAATGGTGTATCGAGTGCCGGTTTGCGATTCCAAGATCTCGATACAGTAAACATAATAGGGTTTGCCGTGTGACACATCGGCCAAACGGTAACCGCTAATGAAAGTTTCGTACATCGCATTGCCAACAAATTGAATAATATTTAAGATGCTCTTATAATAAATTTGTAGTATTAAACCATACGCGACAATATGTACACACAGTCATGATCAATAAAAATTGCAACAATGCATCGAAGAAATATTTACAACCACCATGGTATTTTATACATACTAAAATGCACCTTTCATAGAGGATGCACTCCACTCGACGTCACAAATATATTTGATTGACAAAAATATCTTTGCCTCCTTTGTTCTGATTGGTTAATCAAATGCTTATTTGGTCCACTTGGCGTTACAAATACTTCGAAACGCGGATTCGTTGACCTGGTTGGTCCATTAAATGCTAAGGATCGCTATCTTTGTTAGGGATTCGCTGATATTATTTGGTATAATAGTCAAAAATATGACTATACGTATTTTACGAATTGAAAGAAAAATAAATAATTTACAGCAATTGATAAATAAAATTAAAACATTTCCTGGAAGCTTTTATTACTAAAAGTCTGTCTAAAGAGACAGAGGGGAATATTATTTCAATAATATTTATTAAAATATAATTTTTATTAATATTTTCATTTAACAATATTTATTTATTTTAATATTTTTTTTATAATAATATAAAGAAAACAAAATATAAATAGGCTCGCCAGATGTCAGCAGATCGTTTCGCAAATGTCATTTCGCGCAAACACAGCTGAGAGAGAAAGAATCGCTACCATTATCTCTTCTCTCTGTTTTTAACAGGCATCAAGGCATTGTTGGACCGTTCGCACATTTTATTCTTATACTATATAGATATCTGACACCAGTTATCGACTGCGTTATCCATAGGAGTTACCTACGGCTAACCAACGGAGCGCGTGCGAGACGCGCTTGATTATACAGGATCGTGGTGTGTGTGGTATCGATGAATGAATCCTGTTGCGCAGACCGGCGACTTCATCGTAAGGTAGTCGATAAGCAATCCGAGTGAACGCGCGGTTCGCACGTACTCGCGACAGGACGGGCCAAAATTTACGAAGCATTCGCTGTCGCACTCTCAGCCGAGTCGCGCTCCATTCGTCTAATTCATCTAATCATCGCGCATCATGATATACGATCGCGAACGGAGCTACAAATTTGGGCGTGAGCGCTCTTCTGTCAACTGTACGTCGTGAAAGCACGTTGTGATAGAGAGCAGTTTTTTTTTTTTTTTTTATTTTTTTTTTTATTTTTGACAGCTCTCGAGCGATCGAATCTCGAGGGAACGAGGCGTGGTATAAATCAAGTGTGTGTGATCCTGTGTGTGAACTTTGTGTGGCATCAAAGGCGGTGGTGGGCGTGTGTGGGGATGAACTGCACGGGAAGTGTAAAGTGAAATAAAGGAGGTGGTGGAGGAAGAGTTGTGGCGGTGGTGGAGGGGGAGGAGGGGGAGGTGGATTGGGGCGCTTCCTGTGTCTCGGTTGCCCGATCTAAAAAAGTTCCGCAGGTAGAATCGCGCCTGTGATCGAATGCCTTTTCGATGTGACGAAAATGATGAAGTTTGGGAGAGAGCGGTGGGCTTTGAGTGAAGGCTTTGATACCTCGAATCATGACAGAGGCGTCGGACGAGTAAGTATGTACATACATATACATACAGAGAGAAAGAGAGAGAGAGCCCGCGGTTTTTCATTCCTCTCTCGCTCCCGCATCCCTCTACGAGACTGTTCCATTTTGTCGAAAAATACGATACACGTATAATGTCGTTGTGTTATCGCTTTTATTTCCTTGACGTCAGATATACGATTATTTGGGCGTGCTTTTATGCCTTCATTTCCTCTCTCTCTCTCCCCTTGAATTCGTCTTCCTTTCTCACTCGTTCGCTCTTCTTTTTCCCCCCTTTCTTTCATTTCCTCTTTTCGTTTGATTCGTATTTTGTATGTCGATTAAAATAATGCGAAGCAATTTCTCACGACGAACTTTTTTCCGAAAAGTCTCGTAATATATATAATGGCATATTTAATACTCTTCCCATTTCTTGCTCCTATTTGTCTTTTCTGTTTCCTTTTATTCGGTTCTTTCTCTTTCTCTCTCTCTCTCTCTCTCTCCCTCTCTCTTTTTGCGTCTCTCTACTTGTATGCCTCCCATTCCTTTCCTTTCATCCCTCTAATAGTGTGTTATCCAGTGTTCCTGTATGGATGGCCGTTCATTCATTGAATCGATCTCAGCGTGTGTAACATCTGGCTAAATGTCGTCCGCGCGATGCGTTCTCAACATTCAGATACTGGAATCTCATATCAATTTTCGAGCTCCAAACTCGTTCACCCGTCGCTTGATATTTTTAAATATCTAATAGAAATTGAATAATCTCTCTATATTTTTTTTTAAATATAATATATAAATATATTAAATCTTATATAATATATAAAAACTGGCTTAAAAGCTTTCTCATTTATAAAAATAACACTACAAAATAATGTACCTTTTGTATATTAAAAATTAATAAGTATAAGTAATTTAATATCATTCACATTATGTATAGTAATGTACTTTTAATAGTATATTGTTAATAAATTATACAGGATATATATCTCTTAGACCCAAATGTCCTTTCAAATTCTTTAACTAATCTGAAAATAATTTTGTCTCAGTAAAAAGATTGAAGGACGTTATTATATTTATTACATCTCTTTCAAAAGTTTAACATTGTATGTCTTTCTGTATATAACTAAATTTTAACTTTAATTTAAACTAAATTAAAAGCTTATGATGATTTATATACATATATAGATCAATAAAAAATATAAAATAAATGTATTTTTCGTATAAGACTTGATTTTGATTTTGATTTTGAAAAAAACTTGATTTTGGAAACTGATAAATTAATGATATTTTCTCTCAACATTATTGAGACATGCCATTTAATTTTGCACATAATTGCTATCTTATTTTATTTGAATTACTGAAAGATGATATATATATATATATATAAGTCTGTTATTAATCTTATTGATGATGCGTAATATAGTAGCAATTGTTATTTTGTAGTGGTAACTATCTGGTGAGGGTCCGCGCCCAGGTAATGACGAGAGATGATAGTTCGGGTGGTTGGGTTCCTTTGAGTGGTGGTGGCTTGGCAAATGTCTCGGTTAGACGTAGGATTACTTCATCAGGAATACATCAAACCAACAATACCAATGGAAATAGTATTTCTACTACAACCAACTCCGCACACCCTGTTTCTAATGCGTCTGTTGGCCTTCAAAGTCATGGATCATCTAATATCTCTCCGCCTGGTGCAAATAAAAGAAAGCACGAGTATCTTATTTATGGCAAACGCATTACCGATCAATCGGTAAATCTCGCAAGTTCTTTTTTTTATGATGCTTTATACTATAAATTGTATTTCATAGAAAGATCTTTAAACGTTGCAGCTACATTTAATATTTCAATCATAGTATATATGCGAGGCAGTTATATATGATACAAATGCATCAGCAATGTATTCACTGTGTATGTAATCTATTCTCTAAAAAATTAATGTCCTTCTTCTCTTGCAGGTTGTCCTTAGTTGTATAATTAAAAAAGATTTTGAATATAATAAAGTGATGCCCACTTTTCACCACTGGCGAACAGGAGAAAAAAAGTTTGGATTGACATTTCAAACAGCTGCCGATGCAAGAGCATTTGACAAAGGAGTTCGAACAGCAGTTGAAGAATTGTTAGAAGGTATAGCATTTTCCTTGTCAAAAATCAACTGTGAAAAATTAACTATTCAAATTAAAAATTGCCTAAAATATATCAAAGAGTTTAAGATTTTGAAATTATTATACAGTCAATCTCTCAATAATTTAATGTTTGCTTTTTTATTTTCTTATTATTTCTTTTTCTTTTTTTCCACTCTCCATCTCAATACACACTTATTATATTTCAAATATGGAAAGTTAAAAAGTATTGTCAAAGCAAATAAATCTATTGTAATATTTTTATATAGCATTTTATAAACCAAGATTATTTTGATGACATACAGAGTGGATGATTCCCAATGCGATTTAAATTTTTTGATCTTTTTTTGTATTTTATTTATTTTATTCTACTTTTACTCATATACTCTTTCCAAGAAAATACTAATGTATCACATTATAATACGTTATACAATTAAAGAAGAAAGTACTGTATCAAAGTCTTTCATGTTGTTACAAAATAATTCTATCTTTATGATAAACATTGTGCAAAAGTCTTTTACAATATTTTATTAATTCATTTGCACTCATTATTTTGCTGCAATTTATTATATGGATTGTGCAAATGGTAAGCTAATATGTATAGTTTTAAAGTTATATTTTATTACTTTCTTTTTTTTACTTGATTTCATTATCACACTTCATATTTTGCAATGTGATATAGGTCTGTCTGATTTAACATTAACCACCAATGCTCCAGATGCTGGGGACGAAGATGTTTTTATGGTAAGAAAATTTATGGTTTCATTTATCAATTTTTTTTATTAACTTTCATCAAGAAAATTATGATAAAAAAAGTTGCGTCGATAAACCATATAGAGGGAAATGAAATAAAGTTTTTTTAAAATTGTAAAACTTTACAGACTTTGAATTTGCCAGTGGAACCACCTGAGCCACGTTCCTCTTCAGACACACCTCATGGAATAATTCGAGTACCAAATTATTCTCAATATTCAGAGCTTCCCGATTCACATCGATCTATCCATCACATTGGTGGATCTTCCATTAAGGGCCCACCATCGCAACATCCCTTGGCATCCGTCGCAGATATTGGATCGGATAACTATCCTTATGTGCAACTCACAACGCTTAACCACGAATATTTATATCCCATTATCGACGATCACAAAAGTGAAAGATTAGACGGACATAATACTTCCAATAGCGGAAGTTCTCTGAAGAAGCCAGATATTATAATATCCCAACCTTCAAAAAATACTATGAAACGTAATGTACGTTTACGTTGCAAGCATTGTCAAGAGCTGTATTCAGAACAGCATAATCCGAAAGGTTCCTGCGAATACGCTCCTGATCCAATTAGACGTGCAATCGCGAAAGTTTCTTGTTTATCGTGTGCCCAATGTATGTTATATCATTGCATGAGTGACGCTGAAGGTGATTTTGCACAAAATCCTTGTAGGTAAGTTTGTAATATTTCAATTGTTGCTAAAGACGATTGTTCTTTCTATTATTTTCTTAAATTTATATATATATATATATATATATATATAATATATAACAAACACATACTATCACATTTAAATATTTCAATTATTTTTTTGCTTTATGTTGTTACAAAAGTTTCTATTTTTTAGGAATCTGTTGCAAATTAAATTTTTCGCTTGGAGATTGTATAAAAAATATTAAATCAGTTTTTTTAGAAAATAACTTTGGACACAATGCTACTTTTGAGACTATACGTTAGTATGTTTATATTGTTACTATAGATATTTGTTTTTTTTCTCTTTTCTTTTCTTTTATTATCTCTATATACAATCTCCTTCTAAAAATATAATCGATGTAATTATGTAATTGAATAAATTATAAAATATTAAATCATCCACAGTTGTAGTACAGAAGAGGGATGCGGACGCAGATGGTTTGGTTTAGCCTTGTTGTCACTGATCGTTCCTTGCTTGTGGATATATCCTCCACTTAGAGCTATACATTGGTGCGGAATGTCCTGTGGAATGTGCGGCGGGCGTCACCACCCTATGGAATAACTGGAGGAACCCTTTGATGTCTCTGCTTCGTACTCAATTGGATCAAACAACTTTTCTGCATCGTGCAATGCAGTCGCCAATGTGTATGAATGTCATGATCTAAGTATGGGTCGTTGTCAGAGATATCAAAGGGGTAGACAGCTTCCAGTACATGCACTTATTCATCAGCGTCATCTTTAAAATAAAATACAGTCAAAGTGGAAATACCCAATTTAGCACAAGATGTCGCATATAGCTCCAACATAATGTATATTCCGTACGTTTTGTATATTTTATTAGTGCAAAATACGTTATTTAGTCTCTCCTGTACATTAAACAATTTGAGGTAAACTAATATTTACAGTTTGAATGATTAATCTATGGAAAGCACATCAAATGGACTCAGACCAACTATTTGTGATACATGGTGCACATTATGAGAGTGTAACTTCTGTGAGTCGATACCAAAATTAATTCTGTTCTCAGTTTGATTAATTTTCATACACACAATATTTAATAAAGAAATAAATAAGATAACTATAAATAAGTTTTGCTGGAATTAGCAGAGTGTAGAATATCAAGATGTATCCTATGATTGTTGGATCTGATTCATCCAACAACTTAACTTGCCGAGCCAATCTTTGTTTATTTTCATTCTTTATAACATATCGTAGGATTAAAAAATAAAAAACTTTTGCTTATACAAGTTTCCTTTAATAGTATGAATAATAATTGACAAATCTGACAACATGTGTATATTTAAATTTACATCAATTTACATCCAATTTCATATTATTAGAATATAAAATAAAATTGTGTATTTTATCACATAGAAAAAAGCACATATGTAATATCTTCATACATATGTAATTTTTAAATAAGATATTTAGAGATATGACATGATATATATTCTTTTTCAAAACCACTTTTTATTTAAACATAATTTTCTGTACTACATGTTAGTTAATAATATTGAAATCCATGTAAATATCAATGTTTATAAATATTATTTGTGATTTCATAAAGTATTGTCACATAGAAGTTCATTCTCATAATATTTGCCTTTACTTTTTACTAATTCATGTTTAGTACGCGCGCTGGCACGTGTGTTGTGTGATATTGTGTATGTGTGTGCATGTGAGAAGGAGAGGGAGAGAGAGAGAGAAAATGATTTATTTATATAATAAATATTAACATATTTGTACTATACTTTATATTATATTATAGATATATACAGAGTGTTACTAAAATATTTTGATAGAAAAAAGATTATATATATAGGTCAAGCTCAAGAAAAGAACATGTATACAAAATTTGCCTAAAAATTTTAGTAACATTCAGTATATATATTGGATTTATACATAAAGTGTACAAGCTATTTTCTCGAAAATTAGCAGTATTTTTAAATATATTTGAAGGTTTATTAGACACTTTTTTATAAGTTAAAGAGATACGAGTGCCAAGTTCTCAAAGAAGGAAAAAGAAAATTTCTTTTATCTTTTATAGAAATTTACAATTTATATATAAATTTTTGTACTATTTTCGCGAGTTATATTTAAATTATAAGTGACATTTAAAAGGTAATCATGAAATCATTTTTCTCTTCACTACCACATTCTATCTGTTTGCAAATCTTATATTTTGTAATTTGCATAATGTGTAATACAATAATTAAAACTACTGTTCCAATATTAAAAAAATATATTAAAAGAAATCATATTCTTTACGCATTAATAAAACTTATCTTTTATTCCATGTATGTTATTTTATTTAAAAATATAATAAAAGCATGTATGTGTCTCTCTGCTTAAAATGTTGGAAGGAAAGATATCACTAATTTTAATAGCTACCGAGAAAATCACTTGTGACATTTTATGTAAAGTCTGTATATATAGAAACGTGTATAAAATGTTTCAAAACCACATGTCCTTTTAATCACAGCTTTTTTGACCAATTTAGAGACAATGTTTCGCAATGGATTTTGTTATTTAAACGCATTTTTAAAATTTTTAACATTATATGTCTTTGCAATGGTATAAGTATATTGTAAATTAAAATCCATTATAAGTGTAGCATAAATTAAGGTTTCTGCAACCATATTGGATTAAAACATAAAAGGCAAAATATCATATGAAGATTTTATTGTATTCTATATGTAAGTAATCTTTTTTCCAATTATTCTTTGTATTTTCTAAGTCTAGATTTATGAAATGAAAACTATATTTTCTGCTTTTGTATATTAAATAATAAATCATTTTTTAGCCACAAGGTTTATTCTTGTAAAATATAAGATACATGTTATGAATTATATACTCTGTTAGGATTTAAAGGACATACAATTTTTAAAAAATTTTATTTGATATATTTTACCAATGTATATTATCGAAAAAGAGTGATTGCAAAAACTTATTTATTTCGACATACAGTGCAAGAAATAAATGTGACTTTTTGCTTTTTAGATAATCCAATATGGCTACAGTAAAAATTCACAGAAATTTGAAGAATATGATTATCTATTTTCTCCTCAACGCAGAGTTTATATTGGGATAATAATAAGTAAATAGACTTTTCATTTGTTCAAATATATATTCTTGTTTCTTTAAATATAAGAAGCACAATAAAAATGTTAAACATATTCATATTTTTGATAGAGAGCTTCTTTTTGATTATTTAAAATAGAGATTTATTTCGCGCCATTTTTTATTTGATAATTCAATTTGAATAAGTGTCTGTTTATTAATTTTACCCTAGTGTAGTTTGCGTGTATGCCAGAAGTACCTTATTTTCGATAGTTAATTACTCGATAATAATGTAGATTTGGAAATTTTAGTTGAAAAATCAATTCCAAATAAACCAAAAGAATCTGTAATAAAAAGGATATTTCATGGTTTTTGATGTGTGTAATTATAATGACACAATCAAAAAAAGTGACAAATCTACATGAAAAAATAAATTGAAAATATACAATAAATTTTTTTGTATGAGACATTGTTTTTGAGAGAATCGATTTTAAAGATTAGAAAAATTAATAACAGCTTTTTTTCATCTTCAATTCTTAGATTGGCGCGTCAGACTTTAATACATGTTATATTCATGTAAAGTATCATTATACTCCAAATGAAAATATTTGTATAGCGTTTAAACAAATAAATAAAAACAATTGCCACTTAGTATTATTTCTTAAGTATTAGTAAAAAAACTTATCCACATGTCAATGTTAAATCTTTGTTTATTTTTTTTAGATTAATTTGAAATAGTGGAGAAGAGATAGAATTCACAAGATTGTCACTATATTTTATCAAAAAATTTATTGAGATTATATATTTTATTGAATTGTTATTATTTTGATAAATGTAATTTTTTATGTTAGTATTTATTTATCTTTTATTTCACTACAAACATATTAAGTTGTATGTATATTTATGTGTACAACGATATCGCATGAAACTTTAATCAACTATTGTGGAGAATCCTATAGAATTCTCTAGAATCTCCACAATGACAGTTTAAAAATACCCTTGTGGGATACTGTAGCACTTCACGCGCTAATCTAAGGGTTAAACTCGATAGATCTTTAATAATCTTGCGTAACATGTCACAGCCCATGTATTAGTAGCAATATTTCAAAGTGTGATTGAAATCAGATAAAATTATCCTTTAAAAAAAAGCATAAGAAGAATAAACAGAGAAAAATCTAAATTAATTCCATATGATATAACAAAGTTATATATAAAATATTAAGAGCACATCTTTCTTTCTCAGAATATTATTAATTGTTCAATTTTAAAAAATTTCCCTTATGAAAGAGAATTCTCGTGTGAAATACATACATATAATGAATTTTAATGTAAATATTTATTCTGCAAATCTCATATTTAATCAGAAATTTCAAAAGTTGTCTTGCATAGGTAGTTTTATATTACAAGTGTGCTTGTATCTTCTTCGAATATTACAATAGGAACTTTGTTGATATTGTAGATATCAGATTGTTTACTGCTATACAAATTAATAAATTTTATGTAAACTGCGCATATTACTATTAATTTTAAGTATTTGGCTGGTATATATTTGTAATATAATATATAATTACACTTGTATATATAATATTTTATTAATGGTGGAAAATATTTTTTTAATACACATACACACACACATATATACATACATACAGAACAGTTCCATTTTATATTGTACTACTGAGTATATATTTTTGAAACCACATATTTTTAAAATAATGATTTGGCTAAAAATTATATAGATAAATCCTGTGATTAACATAGTTTTATTTCAAGACAATTTTAAGATTTCATCTATATTTTTTATTTTTAAAAGAAGCATATAAGTTTTTTTACATATCTATTTTCCCCTAATCATTCTCAAATATTAAAGCAAAAACATCTATAGAAACTCTAAAAAATTTTTTTTCTGTGAAAAATATAGGGAATATTTTAATGGAGTATATAAATACTTCATAAAATATTCCAAATTGTATGTTACAATATATCAAAATCAATTATGAAGCATCTTGTAAATTAATCTGTTTTTTATGATTTTTTTACCTTAGTATTTTTATATGCAAAATAAAAGTAAGAGTCTTAAAATGTTTAAATTTCGGTAATCTCTTGAAACCGTGCTGACTATATACAGTAGAGATATGGCTGTATAATTTTTATTCTCTAAATATATATATTTTTTAAAGTGGGTAAGTTTTTAGAGATATTTAATTGAACAATTTAAAATGGGACATTCTACACACATAAATACAAAGCTAATTTTCTCGACAAGTATGTTGTGATGAAATATACCAAATGAAAAAATGCATGTGTGATAATTCCTACAGGCGTAAATGTAAGTGAGCGTATGAATTTTTATTTAAATTGCTTTAATAACGAAGCAAATATAATAAATGTGATCAAACTGAAAGATTGCACATGTCTATAAAAAATTAAAGTAATATATAAGATAGAAATACAAATTATATATATACACACGCACACACACACAATATAATAAAGTCTGTATGATTAGTCGATGGTGATAATAAAATAGTCAAAAGATGAGCCAGAATATATGAATGTAAAAGATGATGTCAAATAGATAGAGAGTGAAAGCAAAAAGATCGAAGATAAAGAAAGAGACAAAAAAGAGAAAGAAAGAAACAGAGAAGAAGAAAAAAGATCGAAAGAGAAGAAAAAAATAAAAGTATAAAAGAGAACAAAATAAGAAAAGCAGAGAAAGGAAAGAGAAGAATGAAGAAGATCGAGATGAGGAAACAAACAATATCTTACGTGTGTGTTGCATGTGTGCATGAGGAAATAAATAGAAAAGAGTATAATTAGGAATGCAAATATAATGCAAATGCAGGATATTCCATATCTTATTTATATTATTTGGTATATCTTCCCAGGTATTATTCTCATAGTCAAGAATATGGTGTCAACAGTATTTATCATTTTGAGAGAACAAAAAATTAAAGTTTTGATAAATTAAATTTACCAAATCAATATGTTGTATGTATACACACACACATATTGTACATTAGTGTTTATCAATTAATAAACTTTAATTTTTTTACATGATGCTTAATGTCATGTAAAGGCACTTATTTAAAAAAAATCTTTGATATTATAATTTATTAATTGTGCAATGAATATTGGATTTTTATTATATTTCCTATGTTAAAGAGAGAAAAGATCTTTAAAGTTCTCCAAAAAAATTGTAAAACTTGTAAGAAATCATTTCTGGGATATCCTGCGTGTATATTAATCATGTTTGCGTTCATGAATAAACAAAAAAATAATAAGTTTAAAAGTTCTCAAACTGAGAAAATGTTTATGGTGCCTGTTTGAAGTATGATATCTTTAATAATTGTGGCAGCATATAGGTTCGAAAATTAATCGGATATTTTCCATTAATCATATGTAAATGCGGCAAGGAAGAAGAAAAATTAGATTTCTAATTCGCGGATACATTATATCATAAATGTGTTAATATCTTGTAGAAAAAAAGATATGTACCCCATATAAAATTTAGATATATAAGAAATAAATATATTGTATTATAAAGAAACGTTTTTTACACACAGACACACAGACACATATAAATATCGCTTATTATTTTTAGAGAGTTTCTGTGTATATTTATTTCATCTATGATAATATATTTACATATATAAACAAATGCATACACATAAGCAAGAAGAAATTACATATTAATTTCCACAATTATGCTATTTATTATGAAATATATACCCATATACAAATATAATATTTACATGCTTGACTTGGTCGGATGAAAAAAGAAATTAACAGATAGCTTTTTAATGAGTTGGAGTATGTCCATCCACATAGAAATTTCGAGTCGCCTTAGGTAACTTTAGCTCTATGCCATCCAATTCTTTTGTCAAAATTATTTGACAACCTAAAAAAGAAGCATAAAAAAGATTTATATATGTGTGTGTGTGTATATATATATATATACACACACACACACACACACACACATGCCTTTTATATATAAAAGGCTAGGTTCCATATCGAGTCGTAAAAAAAATAATTAGAAAACAATTTTTTCTCTTTTTATATAAAAAATAATTTTTTTTTGCATCTAAAGTATATTATTTTTTGCCATGCATACACACATTCTTGTTCAATAAAATAATTTATTAAATATCAAAGATTCATTTCGTGTATATAGAAATAATAGTAAATCTTGAGAAAATTATCAAAAGGCTGATGGTTTAAAAGAGAAATTTTCTAAATACGAAAAATCTAAATGTATTATTTTACATGGTGCCATCAGAGCATTAAGAGATTACGGGTAATAATAAATCTTGCCATACCCAGCCTAGAATTTTCCTTTAGAAAAGGTGCTAAATCTAAGAGATCTTCTTCTTTTTCCTCAGGAATTGGAAGTTTATCCATATAATCATGGTGTACATATACATGACAAGTTGTACATGCTAAGGAAGCCTCGCATGCTCCTTCCATTTCAATCCCATATCTATGAGCCAAATAAAGTACATTATCTCCTACTTTTCCTTTTATTATAAACCTTTTGCCTTTTTTGTCGATAAAAGTGACATTAACTCTGGAAAGATAATCAATAAAATACTGTTTTCTTATTTATTCATATAGAAAATTATCAATTTATTCTATACTACAATAAATGTTGATAAATAGCAGTACTATAATTAAATTATTTCCAAATCTTATTAACTTTATGTTAACAAAAGTTTATTCTTTTTAATATTAAATCACACATAGCATATAGAAATATAAATTTCATTAATTCTGATTCATATGTAGCATACAAACATAAACAATTTAAAAAACACTTTTCTCTTATTTCTCCAGTTATAGGAAAAAATCATTTTATATAAACTGCCAACTTTATGTTATATAAAAAAATCAGTTTGTAATAAATATGTCCATTTCTTAAATGAATCCTATAAAGTGTAAAAACATTTATTTTACCTACATATCAGCCTCTGTTTTAGGATCTTGCATTTCATATTCACCATGAAGCATACCTGTAATAAAATTTGTTTCAGTTTTACAAAAGGGATAAATATTTAATTTAATCTACTTTCAACTTAGATGTTGTCAAAGATATTATATTAGTTTTTTTTTATATGAAAAATTGTATGAAAAATTAAAATTGTTGGTCAACATATACTATGAGAAATGTAATAATTAATCATTGAAAGTAATGCCAAGTACATTGTAAATACATCTTTTTTTTAATGGATTAAGAACGAGCATCGGACCTTATCTGCAATATTATTTATATACTTACATTTAGACGTATGAATTTCGTGGTTAGATATCCTAACTAAATGGCTTATAGGTGCATTCCGTCTTTGTTTCAGGCAGAATGATAATGATCGTAATATAAATGTCATATTTGATATGATTCAATATTTCACAATCTTAAGACATTCGTATATATTAATCTATTACAATAACCTTTACGTATATCGATATCTATATTGTATGGTCCATAGACATAGTATATCTAGGCCGAGTGTTGAGGAGTGGGGGCTAAGGTGCACGTAGAAAAGGACATATACTCTGTTTCGTGCCCTTGCGTTCTCTCTCACTCGCATGTAGCATAGCGAAAGAGTACGCTATAAGAAATAAAAAAATGGAAATCAAGATTATGATACACGGAGTATCGATAGTAACAAAGCAACAAATCATCAAGTCTAGCAGGCATCCGTCTGACGTATTTTGTATTTATTCACTTTGTTATCTATTATCCTAGTATTATTGATCATCATACAATATTTAATTGCAGATACAATTTTAACTATAATTTAAACATATATATCTACATATGTATATACGCAAGTATAAAATTCTTATAAAGTGGGCGCTTATTAGCCTTGTTGCATTACTGCTCTCACGAGTGGCCAGAAAGCATTTTCAGGCCGTATTTCGGCCGTAAAGCGATACGCTAGAGGAATAAGGATAGCACGCGATTGTCGCTCCTTGTCTGATATTATCTCCCAACAATCGCATCTGTGTGCTCAACGTGTCGGTGTGTGCCTTCACGGACGCTACACACATACGCGATGAAAGAGAGACAAAGACAGCGCATCATCTCTCTTTGTCAAACGATCAGTGTACTACCAGCATCGACAATATCGAAAAGTGGATGTAGCACGGATTTGAACCAAAATCGAAAAGTGGATGTAACACGGATATAAACCAATCGGCTGTTTTATCCGAAAATGGATGTGGCCATGTAGTTCCAGGCGGCGTAAAATGGATGTACGTGACGCTAGTGTACGACCTAGAAAAAGCGTTACACGAAAAACGGCAGCGTGGCGACTCTCATTCTTCTCTCTGATTATAGTATATGTCACGTATACTATAATATCGGGTGCACCCCAGTGATGCCAGAAACGGGTCCCGCGTCCCGGGGCACACGGCTCAGCAATGGAAGGGGTAACGCACAGAAGCGCGAACCGCGTATATGTGGCACATGTACGCGATTCGCGCTTGTGTGCGTTAACCCTTCCATTGCTAAGCCGTGAGCCGCGGGACCCGTTTCTGGCATCACTGGTGCACCCGGGTGGGGAATCAATACGTGACATCTGCTAATTTTAACCGTCGGTTAATCTAACCGGACTTTGTGAAATTGGCCCTAAAAGATTCCATTTTTCGAAATAAAAAGAGTACTGTTGAAGTTCTTCAGAAGAATAGCTGTGATTGGCCAGTTTCACAACTACGGATGTTATTAAACCCGATTAAGGGTGCCGTATAACAGAGCTCACAGTCGAGTATTCTCTTCATACTTGACTGTGATTGGTTAATTCTTAAGGCTTAGGGCTCTTACGACTGCATTGTAGACCCCGCATAAGGGCCAATTTCATCAAGCTCGGTTAGATTAACCGACGGTTAAAATTAGCAGTAATAAACAGCTTCATTCATGTTTATTTCGCAATATGAACATCGTTAAATAAAAAAATACATTGATTAATAAAATATTACAAAGCTAAAGTAAAACAAAGAGAAAGAAATATAGAATATTTTGAGTTATTGATACAATAGTACATACAGAAAATGTTAATATATCCAAGAATCCATTTATCAACTCTAACTTTTCTCTTTTTTCTTCTGTCTCTTTCTTTCTTTCTGTTTCTTTCTCTCTCTTTCTTTCTATGTTTATTTCCAGTACTAGCAGTGAATTTCGGAACACGGCCGTGGTCGCTACGTCATATCCTGCGCGATTTGTCTGTGCGTGACGCTTACAGGTTAGGAACTCGGGGGTATGTATGTGTGTATGTATTACAGATGTTTACATTTTTTTTCTTTTTTTTTAAACTTTATTTCTTTTCTTATATAAACAAATATTAGAATTGACAATTTATCATTTGATTAATATTTATTGTACATTGAATTTTATGCTTACAGTTTTTATTTGTATAGAAAATATACTTTTATTTTATTTTGACATCATGTCAATTTACTATTTAATTTTATTTTTTATTTCTCTTTTTTTTACAAATAATTACTTTTAATATTGATTCCATGTGATATTGATTTCAAACTGAATTGAGAAATATGAAAAAAGATATATATATGAATAAAGTAATAAATCATAACAAAGTTCTTTATCGATAAAACACCTTATCGAATTTGATAAGCAAGTTTTCAGTCGCACTCTTGACACCAATTATACGCATTATCGAAGAGTCGCTGCCATGGTGATGAGACTTCCAAATTCCAATCTACTGGTTTCCAAGGCCATTGCCATATTTGCGTACATCTCTCCGGATGTGGCATCATCGCCAGATGTCGACCATTTTTAGAGCAAACAGCGGCTATGCCATTTACACTGCCATTCGGATTCATAGGATACTGTTCAGTCGGATTGCCGTAATCATCTGTATATCTGATTGGTAAGCAGTTATTTCTTTCAAGAGATTCTAGAACTTCCTCGCGGAAAATGAATCTGCCCTCTCCATGAGCCACCCATATTCCAAGAACACTACCTTCCATTCCTTTTAACATGATCGACGGTGAGTTCTCGATCTTAACAGTGCTCCACCTACATTCGAATCTCTCCGAAAGATTATGATCCAAATAAATTCCTCCACTTTTATTTTTTTCAATGTCTTCGTCACCCACCCATCCTAGAAGACTCATCAATTGACAACCATTGCAAACTCCCAAACTAAAAGTGTTTTCGCGAGCAACGAATCGCCGCAACTGCTCACGTAGAGATGGATGAAAGAGAAAGCTGGCTGCCCATCCCTTAGCAGAACCGCAGACATCGGCGTAACTGAAGCCACCGGGAAAGATGATACCTCTGAAAATCTCCAGGGTGATACAATCTTTTAGCAGATCTTGCATCGTAACATCCCAAACATCGAAGCCAGCTTTTAATAGAGAAGCGACCATCTCTCTGTCGCCGTTGATACCTTCTTCTCTTATCACGGCTACTTTGATATTCTTCTGTGGTATCGAATGAGACTTAACAGGATCGAAACTAAGACGGTAGGCGGGAATGTTTCGTTCCCGTAGTTTAGAAAACTCTTCCAAGGCGCAGGTGACGTTTGTCTGATGACGCTCCAGCTGGTAACTGGTCTCTTCCCAGATAGTCATCGAATCGATTACTGTAGTTCTTAGTGCGATATTACCGCGCACCTTGACGATCACTTCTGAGTTCATTCCGAAACCCGCGGATTTTCCGATCAAGTACACGGGGGTTCTGTAGCGCTGAAACACTTTCATTGCTTCGTCACGATATTTCTCGTCGATCTCTAATATCCAGCCAACCTCCTCGGAAAACAAAATGTTAATGGCAGATGCAGACTTGTGAGTTATGTCGACATTTATCCCTGAAATTCCGGCAAAGCACATTTCTAGGAGGCACGTGATCAATCCACCGTCGCTGACATCATGACCAGCGAGGACCTTTTCATCGGCGATTAATTGTTGCGTGGCATTGAAGGCATTTTTCAAAGTCTCCGCATCTTCAACATCAGGTACGTCATCGCCCAATTGATTATAAACTTGAGATAGGGCTGTACCACCGAGCCGACTCTTCCCGCGAGACAAGTCAATAAAGAGCAGATAACTCTGCCGTCCCGCAGCGGGAGCCTTGAGGTCCGGGGTAATTACTCGGCGAATGTCGGGACACGGTGCGTAGCAAGACACAACGAGAGCGCCGGGCGCCTTGACAACATTTTTGTCGACACGCGTGGCCATGCTGAGCGAATCCTTACCGCCATCGATCGCGATTCCGAGTTCCTTCATCAGTGAACACATCGCCGAACAAGCTTCGTAGAGCGCCGCTCCTTCGCCAGGAAGTTTCGCCGGCCACATCCAATTGCCGCTACACTTGACATCTCGCAGATTCGTGATACGCGCGAATACTAGGTTGCTGAGAGCCTCGGCAACTGTCATTCGAGCGCCAGCCGCTTCATTCACCAATCCTTTAATCGGTTGTTCGCCGATGGACGTTGCGATGCCTTCCACAGAAAAGTATGAAATGGCTACCACTGCAACGTCTGCCAGAGGAGTATGCAATGGACCGACACACTGCTGCTGGGCCACTAAACCCGTTACACAACGGTCCACCTTGTTTGTTAGATACCTGAGTGCGATACCGATCCTTTAATTTTTTCAATATTGATTTTTTGCGTAATGACCAAAAAAATATAAATGCAATAAGAATTATTTTTTAACATCTTTGTTTCTTTCAAAAATATGTAAAAGATAGAAACGCACATGACAAATGAAAACTGGATAAGGAAAACTGCACAAGAGGGGAACTCCAGCTTACGAAGGTTCGTGAACTGGGGTTCTATTATAGAATATAATAATAAAATAAAATATACCGCTTGCTAGCCACCGAAGGTAATCGAAGAACTCTGTCCAAGACGTTGAGAACTGTTAATTCATTGGGCAACTTCATGGGAAACTTTTGCGACGATATCTTGTCCAGATTGAAAATCTTACGAGGCATTTTTCCAAGAATAACTTCTAGTTCCAGATTCACTGGATGCTTGCTGCCATCCAGGCTTCCGTCTTCGTTATTAAAATACTTTGACGCGTGTTCATAATTCTCCTCCTCGGAAACAATGATTTTTCCATTTCCCGTGACAGTGCCAACGAAATTGATGGGGCACTTTTCACGCGCGGCGATTCTCTTTAATAAATCCTCGTCCTTTGATTTGCAAAGAATCGCGTTGCTCTCTTGGTATTCCGCGCCCCAGAGCTCTAATGTACTGATACTGCGATCGCCGAGGTCAAAATTCTTAGTAAAGATGACGGCACCTGCAGGCTCCACTAGTTCTTTTAAAACATTTCCGTTACCGCCGGCGCCCTGATCGTGGATACTAAGGATCGGATTACTATCACCCATTTCCGTGCATGCACGCACTACGCGATTTAATTTCTGCTCCATCTCAGGATCGCCGCGCTGCACAGCACCGAAGTCTAGCTCGGTACTGTTGTCACCCTGCACCTCTACGGAACTCGCTGAACCACCACCTACGCCGATTCGATAAACAGGTCCACCGATCTTGACTATTTTAATAGAAAGATAAGAAAATCATTATATTAATATTTGATAATAGCCTGAATGTAACGCAGAACATATGTTTTGTGTCTCTATCTATAAAGAGTACATCAAAAGTTGACACAATCCAATTTATAGCATATGTTATAAATATGCTTTATTAAATTAAATCGATTTCATTGATGGAAAGTCATTTACATAGATACTAGATGCAAAGAATCTTTCATATGCATTTTTTCCTAACAGATTAGACAATATCGCTAACCTTTCAAGTGTTTCATGCATTCAGAATAATTTTGTTTCACAAGGATTTCCATACAAGACAATTAGAAATCAATGTGATATTCTAAAAAGACAATTTTTGTTATATTTTTATATAACATTAAATTTATTCGGAAAAAATATCCAAAAGAATGTATATATAAATAGTATACTTTGTAATTAATTAATCACTGAAAGAGTCGAAATGGTTCTCCCATTCAAAATTTTTTCCAATTATTGGCCTTTAAATCTTTAGATTTTCAGATTTTTAATTTAAAAGTTTCCTTATATTTGTACATTTTCGAATTTCAAAATATTTAAATTTTACAATCCTTATATTCTAGGATTTGCAGGTATTTTTAAATCTTAAGACTTTGTTCTTTAATTATTTTACAAAATCATTTATTTAACAAACGGTAAAAGAGGGGGGAGGAAAGTATTTAATTATCTTAAAAAAATTTAAATCTTCATTAAAAAAAAATAATTTCTAAAATCGTAAAATGAATAAAAAACGAGAGAAGATTATGCTAGTGATACATATCTGAGACACATTTTGAGACATCCTGCATGAATTCACACGAGCGTGGTATATGTGTGTACGAAATTTATTTAAGTACGTAAACTACCGTCTACTTTATAAAAAAATTGTATGTTTATATTTGTAGATTCTTGGAGTCTTATATTTTAGAATCCTCGTATCCTTGGATTTTAAATTCCTAGATTTTTAGACAAAGCAGATTTCTCAAAAATCCATAAAATCTTAGATGCTAAAACAATTTCTAGTGTTTTGCTCAGATATTTAACGAATTGTGGAAGCTGTAAATCGTGCAAAATTTTGATCCACAATTTTTTTTATTATGTGTAACAAGTTGATCGTCTCAAGACTTTTTTCTATCCAGTTCTTTTATAGATATTCTATATGTGAGTATCGAATTGTTAACATACATCTTATGATCACCATTTGTAAACAGTAGCTTTTTAATGCACAATTTTGTAAGAATGTGAGAAAATCGCATTTTTTATGTAATTTCTCTTAATATCTCGCAAAAGGATTTTTCTATATTTCTGGTATAAAGAATCGAATATTCACAAGCTATCATATATAATTTCCATTTTACTATTTTTTGAAATAATGAGTGGAATCCAGATTTATATGTTGCAACATTGATATATGCACGAAAAATTCAAAGAAATTAACAATAGTTATAATTAATAATAATTAAAGTGTACAAATTTTTCGCGCATAACTTCGTTATCCGTTTTTGCATTTACATATAAACCGGGCTTCTTAAATAATAATAATAATATTAATCCAAGAATAACTTCTAGTTCCAGATTCACTGGATGCTTGCTGCCATCCAGGCTTCCGTCTTCATTATTAAAATACTTTGACGCGTGTTCATAATTCTCCTCCTCGGAAACAATGATTTTTCCATTTCCCGTGACAGTGCCAACGAAATTGATGGGGCACTTTTCACGCGCGGCGATTCTCTTTAATAAATCCTCGTCCTTTGATTTGCAAAGAATCGCGTTGCTCTCTTGGTATTCCGCGCCCCAGAGCTCTAATGTACTGATACTGCGATCGCCGAGGTCAAAATTCTTAGTAAAGATGACGGCACCTGCAGGCTCCACTAGTTCTTTTAAAACATTTCCGTTACCGCCGGCGCCCTGATCGTGGATACTAAGGATCGGATTACTATCACCCATTTCCGTGCATGCACGCACTACGCGATTTAATTTCTGCTCCATCTCAGGATCGCCGCGCTGCACAGCACCGAAGTCTAGCTCGGTACTGTTGTCACCCTGCACCTCTACGGAACTCGCTGAACCACCACCTACGCCGATTCGATAAACAGGTCCACCGATCTTGACCACTTCCATACCCCGTTCTGCTGAAACCTGACAAGGAATAACGTGTCCAGTAAATGATTTAACAATATATATTTTTTTTCAGCGAAAAGAATTCTTTATTTACAAAACAACAAAACTAGGGAATCTAAAACAATTTCTTCGAAATTTGAAATATAATTTTCATAATATATATGTAGATTTTTAATTAAATACACATGTGTAAAATAAATCATATACATCCATTTACCATAATAAGAAATAATTTTTAAAAAATTCTATAGGTATATGTTTTATCAATATATATTATCAAATACAAGTAATGGTTAAAAAAAAGAAACTAATTATTTATTTCAATGTATAATATAAACAAAAATGTGATTTTTTATATCATGACTAAATATGATAGTAATAAGGGGCAAAAAATTGTTGTGTTAACATATGATTTCTAAAAATTAATAATGTATAATAATAATAATAATGAAAGATAAGTGGTTTAAAGAAATTAATCGTTCTCGTAAAAGATAGTCTATCTACAATACTTAAATAAATCTTAGAATCTTACCTTATTAGTCAAATTTGCATCCATCGTTCCTAAACCTCCACTGAACATTATAGGCTTGATCCATTCTCGTCTAATTCCCGCATAATTCGTTGCTCCATAAGAACGCGCGAAGCCACATACGACAGGCTCTCCAAATTTGTTCCCATAATCAGAAGCGCCGTTACTTGCTTGGATTATTATTTCTAACGGCAATGCCATGTTATTGGGATAAACTGCATCCTTCTCCTCCCATGGCAAGTCATAGCCTGCAAAAAATAAATGGGAATAATATAAGGAAAAAAATTCAATATTAAATATTTAAGAGTAGTCTATTTAATAAATAGGATATCTGATTATACCGATAACTATGTCATTGCTTATTCATAAATATGAATGAATAATCTGTAATCCAAGGCTGGACATGTGAAAAAACCAGCATTACATACAAGGATTGGTTCAATTCGGTTTGGTTGGTTTAATTATAAAAATATTATAATATATACCTGAAATATGAAGATTGCCAACACTGTAACCTGCAGTGCCTGCTATGTAATTTCCTCCTCTACCGATTGCTTGAATGTCTCTTAGTCGCCCTCCAGTACCCGTTGTGGCACCACTATATTGCAGTATTACACACTTCATATTTCACCAGGCATATATATATATATATATATA